TGATGAATGGATGGTTGAGATGAAGAGAGAGAAAAAATTAATGTAATGGAATGAAATTTGATGGGGGGCAAACAAGGGCATAAAAGAGGGAAGTTGATGCCACTGTTCCTATGCCAAATGGCCAAGAAAGCCAACCATTTTCGAGCCATATAAGCCGAGCCAGCCGAGCCATATAAGAGGAGATTTTTTTCCACGTTCCTCCCTTTTCCTTTCTCTTCTCACACACGCCAACCGACTTCTTGGTTCCTGTGCTCTCCCACTTCTTTCAATTTTCCACCTGACACACGCAACATTTCTCTTCAATCTTTCCACGGTCTTCCTTCTTCCCTGTTTTCGTTCCTCTGTTTTCATTCCTTTCGAATTCAGAAGAACCCAAAAGAAAAATTGCAAGAAAACTGAGAGTTGTACATTCGTTCCTTCTTCCCATTTTCGTTCCTCAAGCCTTCGTTCTCCTCTTTCTCTGTATGGTTGTTCCATTTTCTTTAGCCCTATTGCTTTTGTGTTTGACCTTTTTCTCTGTTTTTGTCTTTGTTCCAGTGCAGGATTGCAGTTTCATAGGAGTAGAAATGAGAAGGACCCACGGGATTCGACATAACCTGCGGAGCCGATGCTACTGCCATGTCTAACTTGTCTCATCAAGATCTCAAACAGGTTTTTTCCCCTTTCACTTTTGTTAATGGAGAGTGAATTACGGTCATCCCTACCGGTACTTTTAGATAGATTAGGGTTAAAGATACAAATGTAAAATGAGGTGTGAACTGTGAAGTGGTGCTTTTAAAATGCCTTCCTTTCTATGTTTGAATGTTTAGACTTTAGACTTCTTATTGTGTAGATTTGAGTTCGTACTGTGGCAGAAATTTTTACTGGTTCTATAAGTATTTGCCTTCATTATCTTGGGTTTGGGTATTGTGATTTGAATAGGCGTGCTCCTTTGTCTTTCAAGTTCTTAGGGGATTGCTTTGGGAAGAAACTTCTTTATACAGTTCTTATGTTTGTCTGGTGACAGAGTTATGATTTCTACTGCCATTTTATGTAATAAAACAATATTTTGTTCATTTTCTTTGCACTATACTAGAATATAGATGTCATTCAAACTCCCAAAATCAGTGAAAATATGAAATTTGGCAGCAAAATGTCTGTCCCCTATTCTCAAAATTTTTGTTGTACAATTTGAATCTCACCCTTTCTGATTTTTTCCATTTTAAATTAGATCTACTCTCAGACTTCTCCGTCCAATTCATTATATGTACACCATACCAATTTTTTCTTGCCACAATCATAAAACCCTCAATTTACAAGTGTAATCTAAAAGTAAAATTGTAATAGAGTAAGAAAACAAAGTGTTTCTTTGCTGGGTTTGCTCTATGCTAAACGATGATATTTAGGTTACATTTACAGGTTAAAGATTTGCAAACCTGTCCAGTGATCTGTTGGATACGTTGCATAAAGTTCAATTTCGGAATGCTGTTTTACTGTTCTTTCTTTCAATTTCCACCTCTGAATTTTGTGATGTTTATAACTTGAGATATCCAATTGTAGCTTTAAATCCTGTAAAAAATGGTATTAGTTGTTGCATGATTAGTATTATTTTGGTGAAAATACTATGGCACTAATTTTAGTAAGTGCTTAATAAAAGAGAATTTGATGATTTTCTTGTATTTTTATGCTGAAACAATCATGGCTTACCACTCTTACAATGAAATTTCTGTTGACCTGTTTATATTGCGGCACCATTTTCAGGTACTTTGATGTATGCAAGAAGCAAAGAATTCTGCCAGATAAAACAATTTTTGCTAAAGTATTTGAGGAGGTTTGTCATCCATATTTCATCGTTTTTGTTTACACGAGATTCATTATGGCATGAATGAATTTACAACATATAACTGTTTCTCGTGTCGTTAGAGTCTTTATGGAATTACATTACAGGGTACATATGCTAATGCAAAACTTTAGAAGTATTTATGAGTAATTTTTATTCAGTTGTTTCAGCTGGTTTCTTTTATATCTACAATGTGGTTGGTTATATGACTGTGTCCCATGGTATATATTATGTTTATTTTTAATGACAAGATAATATGCCTCTAGAGATGGGATAAGGAATAGTGATGATTTTTATTGAAAGGAATTTATTGCTCAGATTAATGCTAGATGTATATTGTATAAATATTGTCGTCAACACTCACTAATGTACATTTGAAGAATTAGCTTGAAAGTTAGTTTTAGTTATCAGACAATAGACAGGTGAACTTTATGATTTTTTGTTGTTTGTTTTGGTATGATCCTTTCCTTGTAGGATTATATGTAGGCTATATTATATACTGTACATGGCTGACGTGTTCTTAAATTCTAGAACTCAGGATTGTTTCCACGTACTTGGCGTTAGAAACCATGCTAGCAGTAGTTTGCAAAACCCGTCAAGGTGTTAAAGCGCTGGAAACATATGACAAACAGGGTTTGATAAATAGAACTTCGAGCCTTCATGGACTTGGATCTTCTATTTGGGAGGCCCGTGGATGGTCCCTTTCTAGTGTTTTGTCTTCAAAATTTGTCGTGTATGCTATTTCTGAAGTCATTGTTTTGTTGATCAGTCAATTAGATTTAACTCACATTTTAATTTATTCTCACTTTTATGAGTGGGTTCAGTCCATATGTTGGTGAGTTTGTGGCTAAAGACCCAATGGGGAGGCTAGATCTTCTAAAACCAAGATTAGCCAATGGGAAACCTCCATTAGGCTTTCTTGGTTTTGCAATGAATATGATCTCAATTGATAGCGTGCACTTGCATTGCATCTCAAATTCTAGGAATGGCCTAATAAAGACACTATTCTATAACCTCTTCTTGAATTTGCAAGTGTACAAATCAAGAGAACACATGCTAAAAACCCTTCCTTGTACAACTAATGGAGCAGTATCTCTTGATGGTGGGATGGTAAGAAAACCTAGGGTGTTCTCCTTAGGCAATCGGTAAAAAATTTGACTTTAATGCAGTGTTTGCCAATATCTTGCTAAAACATGACACAATCAAAGCATATCTTTAGTTTTAATTTATTCATTTGAGATGGATGGATAGGCCAGATGCCTTCTCTTTCAACCTCTTTCTGATGAGTAATTGAAGGTTTACTTGTGCATATCAGAAATAATTGCCAATGTTCAATTACAAATATTAATTTGTTGAATATAATTTCACCTTCAGTTTTTCCTCACCTAAAATGTGCTCTGGTGCATTTAGCAGCAACTATGGAACTTGGACATTCCAACAAGCTCTATCTCTTGGTAGGTAATTTATTCAAGGATTTCCTCAAAAAGAGTGTGTGCATCTATAATGGTGTATCATTTATATTAACAATCGTTGTTAATTTTGAGAAAGAACATTATGTTTTTGCTCTTATTTATTTTCTAATTTTTTTTGTTAGTTTTCCACCGGAGTTGAGTGTATGACATAAACTATCAGGGCAATGAGTTCTTATATACACAAGCAACCTTGGTAATTAATGTCAACTGTTAGGTTTTAACCTGATTTTTGCACTACTGGAACATTTCTAAATTGTTTAAATTAAAAATATTTAATTTAGTTGGCAAGAGAACACAAATGCATTATGATTCTAATCAATAGAATGGAACATAACTGTCTTCTTCATTAGTCATCTAAACTCAATTGGTGTTGCTTGGAGGTTCGGACCTTTTTCAAATATCAGAGCAGCTTGGAAAATCAGGTAAACTCCAACTTGATTCTAATTTTAAATGCTCGATTAATTTATTTAATGAAGCTGGATCTTGTAACGATGAGTTTTATGATACATATAATTTGTTTTCTTAGTATGATAACCTAATTCCTAAATTTTTTGGTTTTACAGATGTCACTTGAGTTAAGGTACCTACATCCTACTTGTTTAAATTTCATAGGTGTTCTATAAATCACTCCAAACTTAAAAAATATATTTTTATTCTCATCGTTCTTATCTTAATTGTTTCGTCAATGGCATGCTTGCTGCAATCTGTTATACAAGCTGTGATCAGTTTCCTGAGAATAAAAAGTTTAGAACATTCTTAAAACATATTCCTTCATTTTATTTTCTGCTTACTGTAATTTTTTGAATTTTTTACCTCTTGGCTTATGTGTTTGTAATCTAAAACCTATAGGGCAATTGGTTGTGACCCCCTTTTTGTAAAACGATACATTCTATGAACTTTTTTTCTTGCTTTTAGATCGGTGTGTTGAAATTGACATCATACTCTCTATTAAATAATGACGTTCAAATTGACATCATACAACCTATAGGGCAATTCCTGGTTTTTATAGAGCAATTTGTTTTTACTGAAGCCGTAAAGTCGCGAGCGTTTCTTTTCTGGCAATTTCTTCGCTTTTAATTTGATAGCTGCATATATTTCTTTACCTCATATTCAACAGAACAATTTCATTTTGTGTTCTCAGTATTGAGCTAATAATATGGTTTTATCTGTTTAATTTCTTGTAATTGTTAATTAAGAGTCCTTAATTTTGGATCTCATATGGGTATTGTGGTCTTCTATGAATTTGGCTTTTCTTGTTTCTTCTTTAGTTCTGTGCTCTCCTTGTTGATGATACAAAATGCAAGGAAAGAAATTAAGAACATGATCATTTTCAGATATTTTATTATTCTTTTAAAAAATCAGGGGTTGATTGGTTGTCTTGATGTTGATATCAATCAATTTTGATATGATGATCTCTATCTTCAATTTTAAATAGGTTTTGGTTTATTTTTCTTCCATTCTGTTATCAAGACTGCAATCCTGGTTTTGATAGAGTCAGTTCTTATTGTTCATTCAATTAGTTTTTTTATGTTATCTATTAGTTTTTCCTGAAGCCGTAAAGTTTTGAGCTTTTCTTTTATGGCAATTTCTTGGTATTTAATTTGGTGGCTGCATACATTCCTTTCCCTCATATTGTTTTGAGTTCAAGTGTATTTTGCTGTGATCTGGTTAGTTAAGTATGTTTTCTCTAGATTTGTTATTTTTTCTTTTTGCATTTAGCTGTACAAATTCTGCCACTAATTTTTCGTACTTGGCTGAAAAAATGTTGGATCGTATGCAGTCCATTGAAACTGTCATTTATTCACTTGACTGTGGACGACACTGAAGTTTCACAAAAGCTAATTGGTGTACGGGATAATTTGTGACAGGTTGTGGACTACAACAGGTCGGTTCCTTATGAGTTAAAACTTGCATCTATAGGTAAAAAGCTGATCTAACCTTCTTGTTTTTCTTTGTCAAACAAAGGTATGCATATGCCGTGCCCTTGGCTCTTCACAGAGTGTAGCATATTCTCCGCAAGAAGAATTTCTTATTACCACCTGATTTTCAAAGTATATATCTTGTGGTACAGCTCGGATATTTATTGTAACTTATGCCCTGGATGTGCAGGTTTAAAAAGATAGATGATTTTATATATAAGAATGAATTGCCTGCTGAGAAAGAGGTAGCACTTCGGTATTTAAATTATATAATATTACTTTTATGTCAGCTTCTACCATATTGATTACTCTTTTTTGCATCAGTAGGCACCAAAGAAAAAGATGAAAGAAGAAAAAGACCCAGAAGTCATTAAATGTTATGAAGTTTTTCCTCAAGCAGATGGAAATCGAGAAACCATACATACAAAATGCACTGGAACAAAAAAATGATAAAAACAAATGAATATTTTTTGCTGTAATGGTATGATTGTTCACAGATTTCGAACTCATCGTTTTCTTCAAATAGATAGATCTTTGGGTCTTCAAGACCGACACAAATGAATGGAACAAAGAATACAGTGTAAACGGATAAATCAAACTAATTTTTTCCTTCATGTAATATATGATCTGATTTCAAAATTTTCAGTCATTTGAATTATTGGATTTTGTATCTGACTAATCTTACATTTGGAGAAACAAAGGGGAAGTGGTAACTGTTTGCTGAAAACGATGATTCTTATGCGCGTGTGCTGTGTGACATATTGTAATGGAATGCTCTGAGGTTATCACTTTATATGATTTGTACTAAATATCGTGTTCTTATTATTTTATTTTTTTTGGAAAATAATTCTCTTGTTGAGATCTGAACTGAAAATGATACATATTTTTATTTTATTTTGATGTTTGTCGTGACCGGAATGCGTATTAATTCTTTATTTTTGTTTTCTTGCAGCTTGAAGGAGAAACCTACTCTCGGGTAAGTGTTAACTGTCATATGAAACTATTTAGCCATGGTTACCGAAAATTTTGTGTACAAGAATCTAGCGCGTAACCTTGATATTAATTTTCTTATGTTTATAAATTAAAATTTAATTTGTGATTTTGGATTATTTTCAAGTTTCTTGTTAATTTTAATGGGATTGTGTTGATTCCTCCATTTTTTTATCTTTGAGATCCCACTTTCTTTTACTGTTTGGTTCTCGTAGGTAATCCGTTCATTCTTGAGTTTTATTAGATGATTATGGAACTTCCATTTCATTATTGATCCAAGTTTCAAAATTGATGGTTTGGTGTTCAAACCCTGCTCTGCATATTTATTAGGAATTGGGAAAACATACAGTTTAGATTCTATGTATAGTTTGGGGTGAATAACATTATAGTTGTGCATTTTTGCATATATTTCATCTGTTGTGCTTGTGCATATGCCTGTGGACAACTACTTTATACTCTAAAGTTTTTTTGCAAAATGTATTTAAAATCCTCATATTTATTCTAACTTTTATGTTGGGAAATGTTGTCTATAAATGATTTTGAATCGTTGCAGATCTTTGGTGGTGAGAATGCTTTACTCAGAGAAGCTATGGTCAAGCGGTGTCTTGATCTTCCATCATACCAGAGGTTTTCAAGTACTGTGTTTCACTTTCGCATCCTTTCAATAACTGACTACATCAACTCTTTAGTGAATTGATTTCTTTAAATGGACTCTGGCCTGACTACAATGATGGTACTTGGCCTGCATGTTATGCTGGTCACAGTTTTAATGTGAAAGAGCCAAAGAGGTTGTTTACTCTTGCACTTTAGTCTCTGGACAGATGCTTTAGATTTTAGAACCCGTCTACGCACTCAGTGGTATATCTTCATGACTGTTGAAAATTGTTGGCGACTTTCAAACATGTCACTATATCTGGCGTGATATCCACTAATAGATTAGGAGTTCTTGGTAGAGAAGATGAGTTAGGATGACGTAATTGTATGTTTCCACTATGAGCTCTCAGTTGTGGTTCCAATGATGATATTTTTTCCATTTATTTGTTTGTTTGGGACGACGAAGAAAAGTGTGGAGTAAAATCTTTCCTATTTATACCTTGCCATGTTTATCTATTTTGATAAAGACAATGTTGCTCTCAAGGGTATTGCCAAGTAAATATCAAAACCTTGAACATTTGAAGAGGAGTTGAGTGAAGAGGAAAGAGATAATGCTGATAAATTGATGGATTATCAGGTGCTTAATCATTTGCTTAGTTTATTTTTCTTTCATTTTGCACAACTTCTCTCTCTGAAAGGATGAAATTCGTTAATAAAAGGGGATGATTAATTTTTGTAAATAAAGTGGAGATTTAAACGGTGTAATTTAAAGGGTGTCTAAATATTCATTGCTTGAAACAATTCAATGTTATTTTTGCCATTGTTCAATTGTGGAATTACAAAAATTATAACGGTTATCGTGCAACGCACGATCCACACTAGTTCTTAAAAAAGAAACAAAACTTTTATCTTCTTCACCCAATCTCCCTANGCAACCGAAAATTGTGAAAATCTGCCCAGATTTTCAGATTTTTTGGGCAAGTTTGAGGCAATATTTCGGCAACTTCCGACCACCAAAACCTTCGATTTCGAATACCTTTGGAAAGCCCACAATGTCCTCTTCAATTATCACCAAAAATATCCCCATAATTCCAAGGTATTCGGCTGGAATAAACCCACGAAGTCAGCTACCAAAAAAGTTCGAAAATCTGCCCAGTTTGGATAGCTGACTTCGTGGGTTTATTCCGGCCGAATAGCCTGGAATTATGGGGAGATTTTTGGTGATAATTGAAAAGGACATTGTGGGCTTTCCAACGGTATCCGAAATCGAAGGTTTTGGTGGTCGGAAGTTGCCGAAATATTGCCTCAAACTTGCCCAAAAAATCTGAAAATCTGGGCAGATTTTCACAATTTCCGGTTGCCGACTTCGTGGGTTTATTCCGGCAGAATCACTTGGAGTTTTGGGGAGATTTTTTGTGGTAATTGAAGAGGACATCGTGGGCTTTCCAACGGTATCCGAAATCGGCTGTTGTGGTGGTCGGAAGTTGTCGAAAAAATGCCTCAAACTTGCCCAAAATATCTGAAAATTCAGTGACCGTCTGTGAAAGAAATTTCAAACTTCAGTGACCGGTGCTGAAACTTTGAAACTTCAGTGACCGTTTTGTTATTTTCATGTAACTTCAGTGACCATTTGTGAAATTAACCCAAACCAAAAATCATAGTCACTGCAACCGTTGGCAAGTGCCACCGCAAAGCGTCGGCGCTCTCCAAATTTGGTGTCCACCACAAAGCACCAAAATAGCTACAATAATCACTACAAATCGTTCCCTTCAAAATATTGACATTAATGGATGGAAATAATCACCAAAGCACCAGAGATAGATTGAAAGCTGGGGTAGATTACAAAATCGGATCAACTGAAGGCTGAATTAGTTCAATTAATTGTACACCCAAAGTCGTATGATAGTGCTGAGCATTCGACCCTGTTCGCAATTGGGTGAGAAAATAGCACGGGACTCGTCAATTGAAGGAAACACGACTGTTTTGAGGTAGATTGCAGTAGTGTTTTGGACATGTTTTGGTGATGTTGTTCCATCATAATGTACCTCTAGATGAGGCGAGATGAACGATTGTGGTCTACGGTAATGGGTGTCGCCGAAAGTGGTGTTCTCGATTTGTGAAGGGACTGCAAATCGAGGTTATTTTTGACAAATTTCTTCCTCCAAAATGGTTGTTTGGCTTGGTTGTTTGTTGAAGTATGTTGGGGGTGTGATACAGCCAGCGTGTGGGTATTTTCCCGCAACTTTAGAGGCAGTAAGGTTGTGGTTAAAGAGGTGAAGTTTGTCGGCTCCATTTGGACTTTTTCCTTTTTGATGATTATTCATTTCTTTTTAAAAAAAAATTCTTCATTTTTTTGGAATTTAAGTTTTTTTTTATTGTTTTATGGGAAAAGCATTAAGTTACTATTTTACCCTCCCCTATTTTGGTAGAAAGTGGTTAAAATTTATTTTGGTGGTCAATTGATGGCATTTTGAATGAAAATCGTCCAAAAAGGGGCCTCATCTGCAACAGTTAAAAAGGTTAGGGGCAGGGACGGATTTAGGGGGGGGTTGTAGCCCCCCTTCCCCCCAAAAAAAAAAAAAAAAATTTTGTAAAATTTTTTTTTTAAAAAAATTCATGTGTAAAATTTTTTTTTTTTTTTACGTATTAGCCCCCCCTTACCTCGATCCTGGATCCGTCCCTGGTTAGGGGTGACGACTACAACAAATAAAATATTTGAAAAAAGTCTTCTAGTGTTTCAAAGATTTCAGACTTTTGTTGCAATTATCCCTCACCCTAACGGTGATATTTTATGAAACAGTTATAAATCTTTTTGATTAGACAAAATTTTCAGCATTAAGGGAAGAAATAAGAAGCTGAAAATAATAAATATAATGCTCATTATATTATCTAGATCCTCACATAAGACATTTCGAGCTCGAAGTTTGAAAAATTATTCGTTTAGATGTATTTATTGATTAAAGAGGTTCACAATATCTCATACACCAACTTTACATATTCTAACTCAAATTGGTATCCTAAAAAAACAATTTGTTAACATTATATTTGATAAATTTATAATACGTCTGAAGTAAGAAGATATTCGATTTCAAGATTAAAAAAAAAAATTCAAAAGAAAAATGGAGCAAATAGTAAAGATAGTCTCATTATGAGGCATATATTCTTAGGGAGTATTTAAACATAAATAGTTAGATGTGCTTCCAATAAATATGGTCATAATAATCTCATCTAGCATGCGCATTAATACCATTTATATAAATTCTTGAATGATTTAATATATATGAAATATATAGTTTAAGTGATATTATTATAAAGAGAATAAATACGTATTGTACTCTTTTTTTTCTTGACCAAAATTTTATCTATTAATTTTTTCTTGTAAGATTTTTAAAGAGATAACTTTTGTAGTGCATTCAAATAAACAATGTACTCTTTTCTTTATTTTGATTTTTTCACAGGCTTTTTAGCAAGATTTTAATGAGACATATTATCTGTTTAGTTAATGTCCATAATCTACATAACATTTACTCTCAACATAAATTTATACTTTTGTAATTTTAATCGCGTATATTTTAAATTGTATACGAGACTCCCAAATAGAGAAAATAAAACTAATTTTT